TTGACTGATTTGTAGAAAGATTTTCACTTTGATCTGTTGTTCTGTTGATAAAAAAAACAATAAAAACACTTAAAAATAAAAAATAAATAAAAAAGTTACGGATAAAGCTGAAAAAAATAAAATAATAATACAATGAAATAAAATTTAAATAAATAATAGCCTTATTTTATTTTGTCAACATTTTAGTCACAGTTTGGGGACTGAATGACTGAATAAATTAATATTCTAAATATTATCAGATGATTTTAAAATATGATTAAATTATCTACAATATAGATGTTTAAACTGCAAATACTGTCATGAATTTGTATGAAATAAACAAATACAAAATCTGATATTCTATATACAATACAACATTTCCACAATATTTTGACTTCATAACCGCATTGTTCTTTTGATTATCTTCATCCAGGTATATTCCTTTCTAATACACATAAAGGTTATGCAAATTAAAACTGCTTGTATATGACTGTTAAATGGCTCAGCAACCAACACATGCATGAAGCAAGTTTGCATCTGTGAACCTAATGAGAGAAGAAACCTGGATAGCAATTAACAGCACTTTATCAGGCCATGACTTAAACATAATATTTAACAAATTGGCCAATTATAGATATTTTTAGTTCAGTGTGAAGTTTGAAAAAGATGATCACACAAAACCACAGCAAGAGTATCAAAGCCCACAGTACTATTTCCTGTGAATGACTGGCATTTCACTGAACACATTAACTGAGCTGAACTGAGGTTAGCCCTGCCATAATGAGAGCATGTGAGCTAAGAAGAGAGACGTGCAGTGGGTCATTTTCAAATGAAAGCTATTAGTGTTCATTACACAGCTCCCTGTTGATAGCACTATACAAAGAGTACAAAGGTTAAGTCCATCTTGAATATGATGTAGATAGAAAAGCTTATTAGAATTCTGAGATAAAGTTTTGCTCCAGGCCAGCGCAGTGCCTAAGTACAACTCTCTTATAGAGAACGAGCGAGAGAGAAAGAATAAGAAACATCCATCCATGTGAAAGTAGCAATTGGGCAGCAAGTTCTTTAAAACTTGAGAAAACTGCTGACAAAATCCTTGTTTATACCTCGCCGTTCCCTTCCTTTATCAAGACTAACCTGTTACTTTGTTTATCATCATATTGCATTGCATTGGAGTGTGGTCTGTCCGTCTATTGTCCTATTCTCAGCATACTATAATGCTACTGGTGCATTATTTCAGAGAGGGCCAGAGCCTTTGAGAGCTTATTAATGGTATCTGCATTGTTCTGGCTTTTGGCTTTACTGTGCTTTTGGCATCAGCAGTACAAGGGCATTGAACCAAAAACCACTATCCCCACATTAAAGCCTCCCCAGAGGGCTGCGGGAGGGTTCTTTGAGAGATTAAGACGCCACTAGAGAATGCAAACTTAAGATACTGCCTCCCTGGCTCCCTGTTTCTCTAATTATCGTTTAAACTGATTACAGAGATTTAGCAGTATCAAAAAAGTGCTGTAAAGAAAACTTCAGCCTTATCTTCACACATTTCATATGGGGTCAGCAGGGCACAGCTGCCGAACTCAGTAGCACATGAAAGAAATGGATGTGTATTAATATAAAAGCATGATGCAGAGTGAAAGGGATTTGCCTGGGTGGAAGATTTAAGGTTGTGGCCTCATTGGTGGCTTGAACAATGCAGAGCGTGGCTGAACCTGGCTTCTTTTGGGTTGTGAAACAGGCGTTCTGAAAGACGAAAACAAGGGGTGTGAACACAATGGTGCCATGCGGACCTTGGTCTCTTTTGCACGTGCCCAGTCTTCAGTCTCTTTCTCTTCTGTCTGTGTCACACGTCTACAATGGGGCAGAGAATCTTTGTGAGCACATCTGCCTTTTTTATGGGGACCTTTGCCTGGACCAGGGACTATACTGAATGCTTTATTATCTGATTGTTTTGCAAGCCCTTTGTTGTCAGTGGGATGACGGTTCTTTGCTTGCGTGATGAGAAAATGTGAAATGACATCCACAAAGAAGAAAAGAGGGACAGAGTCAAAAATTATAAATAAAAGAGAGAGACTAAGCCTCATCCCTGTCAGAGAGAGAAAGAAAACAAGAGAGAGAGCGTCTGAGTGAGGCATTGCATTTTTCTCCAGACAATGGAAAGTAAGTGTTTGAGTGCTTGGCTGTGCAGGCAAGCGTTAGATGAGAGGCTTCACACGCCTACTGTATGGATGCTACACCCTGGCAAGCCTGCTGGGGTTTACAGATCTGTGCATTGCTCGAATGATCCGATGGAGCTAGAGGAGTACTGTATGTGTAGGATGGAGTACACTGAACCAATCAGCTCCAACACAAATGTAGGTGATTGTTTAGTAACACTTTCTGCCCTCATGGAGACATCATTTACATTACACATCAAATTCAGAGGAATAGAGCATTTTCTTCTTTTGATGACACCTAAACTTGAGTTTATGCTGAGTCACAGAATGCTTTTATTTTAATGGCAAAGTTGTGTTGTGAGGATGTAGGGGGAGAATACTAGGGTTTGTGAAAGTGACACTGTTATGTAAGCACAGGTTGCGAACAACTCTGATGTAGATTAGAATTAAATAGACAAGTCTTTTAAATTCTGATTTGAATTGAAATAGCAAAGACATATATACAGATGGATGGATCCAACTTATGAATTAAAAGGAAGTCACTTCTCTGTTCCACATCCAAAAAAAAAAACAAACTCAAATCCCTATCCATTTTCTAATTTGTAACACTTGGTTCAATTGTAACTGAAATTTTAACTTGAGTTAATTTCCAATAACTATCCTATTAAATACTGAGTCAATAGAACAGAATTCATATTTATTTTCAAGAAATATAGAGCAGCTTATTCTCATTCTATCATAAACGAGACCATGCACATTTCTTTCACGTGCATTGAAACTAACGGTCAGACTGCAGTGTGACCACTGGGACATTTACACTCATCTGGCATCTTTCCTATTTTGAAACGTGACATTTCCTTGACGCAGTGTGAATGATGTCAAGGTAGAGCAGCAATCGCCATGTCCTTACCATAGGAGAAAGAAAAATAAAAAAGAACAATACCCAGAAGTCTCTCTATCCATATTGTTTGAGTGGTTCGGAGGCACGTCTGTGTGTGGCTTCAAGCTCACCCACAAACCTCTGCCAAACATCCCGTCGGCACGACTGAGGTATTACCGTCCTGCCAGAGAGCCGCTAAAAAAGCCTATACCATTACCATGTAAGGACATAAAACTGGACCAGTGCATTACCTCCCGCTCAAGGATGAGGATATCATGCCACGGCTATTTGAGCTCCAGGGATGAAGATGGGGTGATGCAGGTGATAAATGTGAGAGGGCGGGTCTGGGTGAATAAGAGAGAGAGAGAGATAGAGAGAAAGATGGATGAAGGATGAAACTGAGAATAGAGACAAGGGAAGGAGGTGTGCAGACCTGACAGTTGAATCTCCTCTATAAAGCACAGCTGAATGTGGGAAAAGGTCATCACTTTAGCTCTTCTGCTTCTGTAAAGAGCGACAGGGCTGTCACCTCAGTTCAGGCTTCCACACACCCAACCCAAACCACCTGGCAATTAAAGGTCACCTCTGCTCCCAGTAACAGCCAAGAAGGACCAATGTTGACCTGGACATCTAAATATTCCTTATCTCCTCTACCTTTCTCCAGCTTTGAAAGAAGAACAAGGAGAAAAAATACAGACAGAAAACAACTAAAATCCCTCATCTATATGGAGGGGAAAAACTTGGACATGCCCCAACCACTTCAGAAGCAACAGCTAAAATAAAAGTCACAAATCCCCCTAGTGGTCTCTGAGAAAAACGCCAAACTGTCAGTTGTGAAGCAGAGTTGACTCTTTCAAATTCTCCTAATTCACAGTGGTGAAAAAGCCACCAGAGGGTTAGAGGCAAAGGGTGGTCTAATGTAAATGAGATCCACTCTTTCACAGACAGCTGAGGTATCTTTAGTTCAGGAAACACATGCCATTTGCAATTACCACATTTAAGATGAACAAAAACCACCGAGACAGTCAGGGCGTGAAGAGCTTCCTGAAGGATCATCAATCTTGCCTGTAAGACAAAGGGCAGTGGGAGGGAGGGAGGGGCAGCAGGAGTTTTGCCAAGTCCTGTCCCAAAGCAGCTATTATGAGAGAGTGAAAGTGGAGCTTCTATTGGCCTGGTGAATGAAAGCAGACAGAGTATTGTACACGAAGCACTGCCTGGCATTAAAGACATCTCTTTAATGAAGCTTTTCAAATACACACAGTCATCTGTAGGCATGATGAATCTCTGAGCAAAGACAAACGTAGGTTTTTTTTACAAATGCTTTTCAGAAAATTCCCATGAATGTCTGGCTTTCGAAAAACAGATCTGTTTAGGGGTCTGGTGTGTTTCTACATGTCAAAAGTTTCATACATTCCATTTAGCAGCACCAAAAAAAATAAAAAAAGAGAGAGATTTGTTATAAATAAATAAATAAATAAATACATTTATGACTCCAAACTATCTAAACCATATAACTGAAAATAATAATAATAATAATAATATTAAAATAAAGAAAACAATAAAGATATTTTACATTAAAATGTACATAAATAAATAAACATAACACTTAAACATTTTAAATTAACTTTCAAAATTAACTTTAGCAGCCCTAAAATACTAAATAAATTGTAGCAATGGTGCAAATGTACTACACAAAACACACACAAAAATAAAGACATTTTACATAAAGAAATACAAATAAATAAATGTAACACTTAAACATTTAAAAAAAAAAAAAAAATGAGCAGCCCTAAAATAACACAGACAGACAGACAGACAGACAGACAGACAGACAGACAGATAGATAACTATAATGACCCCAGCAGGACCTGGACTGGATTTTGACCAGGATGTGTTTGCATTTCATACATTGCCCTGTGAGCGGATAAAGGTTTCGAATAGGGGATCAAGCTGCATTATGTGAAAGTGCCTATGCACACACAACTCACCTGGATTAGTGCTTCACTTAGCCTTTCCTCATCCACCTGCAGCACGATATCCCGGATCTCTTCATAAGGCAGCCGGAATGAACCCAGGAAAATTGCTGTTTGGAAATAAAAAAATGAAGGAGTCATTTTCTGGCCCTATAGTTTGGCATGTCAGCATGTTCAACAGGGCCTCCCTCAGAAATGACCGTGGGACAACGTCAATAACTTCTCAGGTGGATGGTAAAACACTGTTAGAGTGTTTGTTCCACTTCGGGGCAATTGGAAGCAAAAAAGCAACACAATTTTCTGGCAACAATAAAAGCAGCTAAAATAACCTCAAATTTGGGGCCCTATCACCCGATAATGACTCAACATCTTAAACTTTCACCCAGGTTGAAATGCAGAGAACCACAGGTGCAATTTACCCAGCAGCTCAATTTGATGAATGAATAGTCTGTAATTATAGCATATAGCTTACAGTGCACAGTTTAAAGCGCCATCAGTGGGGGACCGAACATAATTGTACATTTCTGTCTGAAGCAGTCACTGCATTGAAGTTAAAATTACCTTCACATTTACGTAGATTAAAACAGTCAAGAGTTTTCCAGTAGTGTCTGGAAACAATGCCAAGCAGAACCTGTTTTTGTTCTGGGAAATCATCACAGTACAGAAAGCATTCAAGGGGTTGCTCTTGTTTTGTACCACCTACCTCTAAGCTATTTCAGCAAATGTTTGATGGGAATGCATGGCTGAGTGGATATACTGAAGATGATATGTGAGAGTCTGTTCTCTGAAATAAGTATTGATTTGGTTAGATTCCTCTATCGCTCTCTGAATTGCATCAGCCAATGAATGCAAAGGCCCTTCTGCCTCACCCCACCATCCAGCTCTCTGGTGTGCAGGTGAACGAGGTCCAACTTCTGATGAACAGTGATTTAATAAACAACCATTCCCACCAGCTGATTGACTAAGTCTCTGTGAAACTATGCTCTATTTTCTGCAATTCATTAGTCGGCCATCTGCGTGTGACAACATGCCGGTTTCTTCAGAGAAAAGAGAGTTCTGTGCTTTTTTATTCAAGAGATGAAGGTAGAGCGAACACGGCGGCATTTCAAAGCAGTGGGCTCATCTGGCAAAAACCGGACACAACGGCATGGGAGGAAATTCTTATTGTAGCTTTGGTGTGCCAAAATGCACAACGAGGTTTTAAAACTAGCCTAACAACACAATACAGCCTGTCTATAGGGATATGCTAATGAAGCAGCCATCAGTAGCATGATGAGCCAATCATCAAGACTATCACATGCCAATAAACAAACAAATGGTTTGTCACTGAATGTGGTGAGTTTAACAAGCCCCAGTCAGAACTTATCATATTTGATGCAAAAAAAAATGTAATTGGACGACAAATGCTTTCGCCTCATCTGTTGATTCATTAGCATAATTTACACATTCACAGTGAGTGAATTATCCTGAGTTTTTCTTCTAACAAGTTTGTCCATGACAGATGCATCCCATAATTTATTTCCGTTCATATCCACTCATACTCATCTGCCCAGGGATTTAGTCACATTTTGTGTTTTTTTTTCAACACAGCAAACCCTGCAAGTCCACCAAATTGCACACATTTAAGCAAAGAGGGCACTTCCACCCCATATATAAAAATGCAATCAATACTAAACCGCCTCCACACACTGGCATAATTTATAGCAAATCTCACTTTGTTTAAAAAAAAAAAAAGATATTTCCGTTCATATCCACTCGTACTCATCATTTTGTGATTTAGTCACATTTTGTGTCTTTTTTCAACGCAGCAATCCTGGCAAATCCGCCAAATTGCAAGCATTAAGCAAAGAGGGCACTTTCGCCCCATATATAAAAATGCTATCTATACTAAACCACCTCCACACACGAGCATAATTTATAGCAACTCTCACTTTGTTTTAAATGCAGTCCGCTACATGTGTAAAAAAGGAATGCTGAAGGAGGGTCGACGTGACTCTTCTGGAGTTGGACCAAGGAAGGGAATAGAATGCTGGGATTGTTAAACATGCTAATGGACCACAGAGCTCTGCTGGGTATCTGTGTCTTAATAGAGGAGCATGACTTTATGTAGCAGTTGCCTGCTTAGCTCGGTTCCTCCCACATTAACTGCACTCATGAGATTCGTAGCCTCTTCGTCACATCTGCATTATTGTTTCAGCTGTGCACAGAGCCACACCCAGGCCCCAGGTCCAGAGTAGCCGAACAAATATCCAGCTTCTCTTTACACTCACAATGATGTGTGGGATCATGTCTGTGTCTGTGTGGGATTTGCTCAGAGGCCCCCAGGATCAATGAACTCAGCAAGTTTTCCTATCCAGAGAATTTCATGGCCAAAAAATAAAAGTGTGGGCATTGTCCAGTCAGCCCACAGACTGTACTCTCAGCATGAGGGGAAGACAGCAATAGATACCTGGGGGCATAAGTAACTCTCCCTTGTCCAAGTAAAGAGCAGAATTGAGTTGCACAAGTACCCATTTCCACAACCCTGGAACAACCCTGTCTTGTCTTTGGGGCCCCTATCAAATAATAATAATAAAGAAAAATTAATATTCAACATTTAAGATTCTTTTACACTCTCTCTTTCTGCTTTCCTGTCCCACCTCCCTTTTCCTTTCTCTGTGAAAGATGACAGATTTGTGGCTGAAGTGAATGTGTAACAGCACTCCCACTCGTGTTCTGGCATTAGTTACTCTGAAGCCTGAAGTGATGTGTGTATGCGTGTGTGTTGCATCAAAAGCAGGCTAAAGAACTAGCAGAAATGAGACAGAGAATGAGAAAATGACAATGTGAAAGTGAGTGAATGAGGGGAAGAGAGAAATGTCACTGGCATCTTTTCTGTTAGGGCCATCTCCATCTGTTCCAGCTCTAAACGAAGAAGAAAAGCAGACAAGAAAAAGAACACACAAACACACAAACCTGACCTTGATGCCATTTACCCTTCAGGCACAGTAATGGAGCATGTTATATGATTAATGAAAATGCCACCTCTTTTGTTGCATTATTAGTACTGACTGACACAATCATCTCTATTATTATTGCTCATGGTAAGTGTTAAGGATTTAAACAAACTTCTACCACTTACAAACTGCATTAAACTATACACGATACTGTGCATCATGTTAAAAAGAAGTGTGTTAATACTGTTCTAAGCAATGAGACTCACAATGCTTGTCTGACAAACAAAATCATGAATTGATCTATCCAAGCCATATCCAGGGACCAGAAAACCATGGGCCATTCAAGAACCCCTTATAAAAGCCTAGTAACGCCCTGGAAATCACTCACAATACCCTCAAATCAGTATAAAAAAAGAGCAAGCACCATTTTTTGTCTGAAAATGCACACACCTAGTTATATTTGTATTATCCATGTTAAACCAAACTTCGGATAATGTAGCTTAAAATAATGTTCTTCAACAGCAGCAGTGTAGCCAGACTCTGAGCTTCATCTTACTCTATTTGCACATTCGAATTGCATTGATATATTCAATTGGAATCCAAGTACTCTTCCGGCTAGGATGAAAACAAGCATGGGTAGGACATATACTCAGGTGGCTGGTTATTTTAGCATTTGCTATGAATATTTCATGAAGTGTGATATTGTATATCTAAGGTGTTTTCCTCTCCATGACAAAGAAGCCAACATGTCCAAAAAAGAATAAAAATCACATTCTCATGCTGCTTTCATCAATCAAAGTCCAAAGAGTCGCAGGCACTCTTGAGAACACAATGAATTAATACACACACACACACACACACACACAAACAAACACTCCCTGAAGATTCAAGAGGGGGAGAAAGAGTGTCAGTGGAAGAGAGACAGAGAATTACTAAATGACACGAGGGTCTGGCAGGCTGATCAATACGGGCCACAAAGCAAGATGTATTCAGTCCAAACTGTGATATCAACAGGTAGTTCCTTCTGTCCAGTATGGGGTCATTCTCAGTGTTTCAGTGTCATAGGGTAAAGACAAAGTAGAACAACTCGACTGTAAAAATGGCCAAATGTAAATCGAACAGATTTTGATAAATAAATGTATTGTGTTTAAATAAATAAATAAATTCATTAATTTGTTCGTTCATTTATTCTACCGACCATTGGTTCTGATTTACGTGGAAATGTAAGAATGAATCAATCAATCATTTAAAATGATCAATCTCCCAGACTTGGTTGCATTAATTTCATAAATGGAAGTACTCTTGGTTTGGGGGGACTATTTGGTTTTGCCTGTGGTTAGGATGACGCAGACACAAATAAAATGATTTGTCCTTTTTCCTGTTATCCTCCTATAGTATGTGTTTACGGTACAACTGAAATCAGAGGAATCGGGTAGAATCCATTATCAAAAAAACAGCATCCCCAAAACCTGTTGCAGGAAGAACAAATACTGACAAATGCTGCTTGACAATACAAGAGGATAAGATGAATTTCAAAGTTGATATGATACGTAGGAACAAGAAAACAAACAAACAGAAGAGAACAGAGGAAAAGTGTCAGTCAAAGCCTGAAAACATTGTGGCTATAGATTCAGCAGCCTGAACTGCTTTCAGTACAGAGAAAGTTGTTTAGATTCATCTTTTTCAGTATGGACCAAAAATACCTAGGACTTCTCTAAAACAAAAACAAAAAATTAGAATAAAAGCAATTCTTTAGAGACAAATACAAATGTAACTTATTTGAAAGTAAGAACAATAAACACAGATCTGGAGGCTCTTGGCTGGGTGTTAGGGGACAGATGATATGGAATGCTGATAACTTACACAGATTCTGGGCTGTCTTGGCATCCAGAATTCGCAGCTCTTTCGCTTTTTTCTTGAATTGTGTCATCCTGTCATCTGTTTCTTCCATGTCCTTTTTCACTGAAAGCAGAGAGACAGAACCAGAGGGTAAGCACATTAATTATCAAAACAAGTAAATGAATCTGCTCAT